AGCTGTCGTGTCCAGAGAGGACGTCTTGTTCACATTCCTCCTGTCCCCTCTTCTGCAATGTCCAGTGTTTCCTGATCCTTCGGCGGGAGGGTAGTGGCGATGTTACACCTGTCCCTTTTAGGACCAAGCACTGGTTTTGAGGCAGGGTATTACTCTGTCGCCCTGACTGTCCTCAAACCCTCCTGCCTCAGCCTCCCTAGGGCTAGGATGACAGGCTTGTCCCACTCTGCATCCGCTCACTTGTGTGTTGCTTCTGCTGCTTGTACAGCTCCCCCGGGATGCTCTTCCATCGCAGGGCCTCTCAGAGGGATGTTGAATTCACTGAGTGTGGCTTGCCATACTTTAGCCATATTTCAGGGAGCCTCTGGAAACCCAGGTGTGGGTGATTGAGCTGTGGGGCAGAGGCTGTGAGAGGGAACGAGTGTGCCCATGGTGGAGTGTGCCTATGTGGTAGGGGGCAGGGATCATGCTGATACCCTCCTACTGTGGGACTGTTTGGAAACCAAATGGAGGTATAACCAGGTTGGGCTTGCTTTTGATGCTAACTGATCAACAACCTTGGTAAGGCTGGATTCAGGAGAGGGAGCAGGGAATCCATAGCATCCGATTGTACCAGAAAAGAAACTAGCATCACACAGGACTAGAGTTGGTTTGGCCACACTGGGTTCCAGCTGCCAGGTCTGGATTAACCTGGACTTCCTTCCCTCCCCAAGCTCAGACAAAGCGGGCTTCATGCAGGCGTGTGAGAGCGCCTACTCCAGCTGGAAGTTCTCAGGAGGCTTCCGCACCTGGGTCAAGATGTCACTGGTGAAGACCAAAGAGGAGGATGGGCGAGAAGCTGTTGAGTTCCGGCAAGAGGTGGTGGTTGTTTGCTTGACATATATGATGGCTTCCACGTTTGGATCTGTGGTGGAGGGAGACTTTGAGAGGAAGGGTCTTTTGGGTGGGGTCGTAGGATGAGGATATCTTTAGTAGCCCTTGGGAAGTCTCCATATGCTAAAGGCAGTCCACAGCAGCTTGCTTGTTCCCCACAAAACCATCTCTGTGCCTGTAGGCATGGGAAGGACCTCCTGTGCCAGGGATTGTGTATAAAGGAGTCAGGCGCAGTGGGGTGTGATGACCTGTTAGGATGCAGATGAGCTGATCAGAAAGCTTTTGGTCCCTTGGTCCGGAGCCAGAAGCATGCTGGGTATTGAGGCAGGAAGATTGTTGCTTCTGTAAGATGCCTGCCCAGTCCCACAGGGCTTGGGGTGTCCTTAGTCACCGCACTCCTGGGCAGCCCTGTAATTAATTTCAGCTTTGTCTTCCTGCGGCCAGTGTGAGCATCAGATCAGAGGTAGCCCTGTGCCTTTGGAGCCTGTCTTTCATAGTCGGCTGGCTGATCTTATCATGTGTGCCTGCTAAGTATGTATAGAGCTGCCTCGTCATATGGAGTGGGGGCTACACTTTGTCCCCGTAGACTTGAAGAGTTAGGACTGCTTAAGAGACTTAAGTATTTTGAAATTTGGGACTTTGGAATTTGTCTTCCGTAGTAGATTGCGTGTGATTTAATTGTGAGTCTTGGCACCTGATGGCAGATTTTGGTGACGGTTTCAAACTACTGCAGTCTCTCTGCTCCCAAAGTACTGTAAAGTCCTAGCCGGCTCTTGTACCAGTGAACCGGTCTTGTATGTGAAGCTTGACTTTCCTTCTCCGGAAGATGCCATTAGGAGAGCCAAGGGCTGAGTTCCTTCCTGCCGTTACCTTCCTGGGTCCAGGAAAGGGAGGGCCCAGAAGTGCTAATTCTCCGTCTGTCCCACCCCTAGACTAGCGTGGTTAATTATATTGACCAGCGACCAGCCGCCGAGAAGAGTACACAGTTGTTCTTTGTGGTCTTCGAATGGAAAGACCCCTTCATCCAGAAGGTCCAGGATGTAAGTACTGCCAAGAGTGGTCCTTCCTCACCTATCACAAGATGGCCCGAGATGGTCTTGGTGACAGGGAAGAGAGTCCAAAGCTCGGGTCCCAGGATGGATTCTGTGAGATGGAAATTTTGCTTTCACCCATGATCCTAAAGATTGACCCAGGCTGTGTGCGAGGGGTGAGGGCTGGAGGCTAAGACAACTGAGGTGAAAGGAACCAGCTTATGGATGTGCGTGTAAGATGTTCTGATGCTCTTCAACCTGAGCCACCTGTCATGAGGGGCCTGCTCTGGTCCAAGTAGAGCCCTTGAACCATGCATCACAGCAGTCCTGAAGGCAGAGGTGTGGCCACCGGGCATGTGAGAACAGGGGCTCATCCTGTCTTAGACCACACCACTGAACCAGACTGACAAGTGCTTTTTTTTAAGCCACACACGGGAATTCCAGAATGTACGAACTCTAAATTTGGTGAGGGAGAAGACACTTGTCCAACATGCACAAGGCAGAGTCCATGCATTAGCATTGCACAGGGATGAGAGTATTTGACGGGGACCAGTAATTGCTTTAAATCGTTGCTAGACAGTAAACAGCTGTCACGGGGCTCTGTGGGATAAACAACTTTGGCGAAAGAAAGGTTTTTGTCTGAGTGGCTAGAGAAAGTGCTGAGCTGGAAGGACGATTGAGTCCAGATCGGACAACATCCCAGCAGGGGAAGCAGAGGTCTCATGACAGAATGTGGGGACACAGCTGAAAACAGGTAGTGGGGGTGGAAAGACTTTAGGGACATCTGAGTCACTTGTAGGACCAAGCCACCAAATTACAGCTCGGTCTGAATGTCTTATGCAGTTTTGAGAAGGAATGTCCTCCGTGTTACTTCATTATGTGGAAGGAGGGGCTCATAGTTCCCTCCAGACCGGCTGTCCACATTAAGTCCTAATAAGCGGAGGCACGTGTCTCTGTGGGTCCAAAATCCAGAGACGGAGTCAAGGTTGATGCAGCCCGCTACCCCCGCCTTTTGTTTCTGTTCCCCAGATAATCACGGCCAACCCTTGGAACACCATCGCACTCCTCTGTGGGGCTTTCCTCGCGTTATTTAAAGCCGCAGAGTTTGCCAAACTAAGTGTGAAGTGGATGATCAAAATCAGGAAGCGGTACCTCAAGAGGAGAGGCCAGGCAGCAAACCACATCAGCTGAGGTCGCCGCGCCAGCACTCCAGACTGACGGAAGCCTTATCCTCCCGTTGACAACCGAGCCACCAGCAATCCTGTACTCACTTGAAGGGACCTTGCAGGGAAGGGCAGTCTTTCCAACTGGACGGTCAAACCTGGCCCAGAAGGAGGCTGTTCTGAGCCCACAGGCAAACATCCAATGAATAACCTGAAACTTATTTAAGTATTTAAATTATTAGCAGACATTTTACCACGCTGTCTAGTGCCTTGGAGGAGGGGGTTTGTGGAAAGCAGCTTCTTCCTATTTGTCCATTAAATAGTTAAGCTCCAGGTCAAGAGACTCCCTCTTTACCGTAGATTTTTTTTTTTTTAAAGTATAGAGATACATTCTGTATACAAACTTCCTCATGACCTTATACCACCTACTGTTGTTACTTAAGAACAGTAACAGCCTAAGTCAGCCTTTTTTTTTTTTTTATGTAGCCCTGGCGGAACTCACTGTGTAGTCCAGGCCTCTGCCTTCCCACTGCTGGGGAATCACAGCCTCTATTACCGCTCCCAGCCTTACATGAGGCTTGAAAGGCTACTAGAAACTAGTGGTCACAAAGGTGTCAGCTCGGTGGCCACTGCTGGAAGCACTGGCACAGATGTGTACAGTAGGCGCCTACTTAGTGTATCTCGATTTCATTAACAGGTAAATAAAGTTGGGCTAACACGGAAGGAATGAGTGTGAGTAAGCCAACAGGCACCAATACTGGACTTGCTCGTGCGGTGAGCACCAAACCCCAGTGGCGGCATGAGTCTGGACTGACCCCTGAGGTATGTCCCCACTGCTTCAGGGAAGGTAAGCTGGACATCGATGGCAGATGGCCAGACAGATGGACACACCGCACTATGAATGAGCTGCTCAGTAGGCCACTGTGTCCTTCAGAAATGCTCGCCTGAAAGGGTGACCTTTAAGGCTTTGACAAATAGCACTTAAATAAACCCAGACCTCATCTTCTCCAAATGGTGTGGGAATATGGTAACATTCAAAGAATTCACAATAGGCCTTGGGAAATCTGAAGGGAACTGTTCACGTGTATAAGGAAGGCATTTTTGTCTCTAAATTTAGTAGCAAGAAACTCTGTTTTGGCTGAATCCCTAGAAATAAACTTGTATAATGAAATATTCACTGCTATCTTTCTATTTCATAGATGTACAAGAATTTTAGACTAAAGGTTTTTTTTTTATAAAATGCCATTATAGTGCAAATGCCAAGCATAAACATATCAACAAGATTAAAAATAAGTGAAAGGCTTCATGTCTAGGGCCACGAGTACAGCTAAGTACAGTTGGGTGTGCACTTAGCATGGGGAGCCCTGGTCACAAACCTCTGTAATGAAATCTGCCCCAGTGACCACTGGAGCTTTTTAGTATTGGGAAAAGTTGAGCTATGACATTTGCTTTAGGTAATTAGGAAATATTTTTGCTTATTGACTGAGTAAAAACCCACCTGTCACCTTCTGGAAAGGCAAGCCAGTGTTCTGTGGTAGGGTTGTGCCCAGCTGTGAGAGCACAGAGCCTGGATGGCAGACTGGCCTGCAAAGTCCAGTTTGAAAATGGAGCAAAAATCACAAGCCATTGTACTGCAAGGAGGGCTTTTCCCCAGTTGCTATCACAGCAAGCTGGTGTTTAAGTTGAAACCATTTTACAATCTCCTAGCCCCCCACACCTGTTTTAATTAAAACTAGCTTTAATGTTAAACCTGTCCTAGGGCACAGAGGGACACGAAGCTTGGGATTTTATAAAAGATTCTTTAAGTGGTTACATTTTGATAAATGGCTAGATTAATCCATGGACCATACACATCCTAATTTTAACTAGAACACATATCCACAAGTTGTGATTTTTCTGTAGCTCTCTCCCAGAGATAAAAGAGCAGATGACGTAAGGCAAAATACAAACATAGACTTTATTAAATGCTGCTCAGTCCCCAGTGAAGGTCTTTCATTATAAAACAGTTTTCCGTACAACAGCAAGGCAAGAGGTTGGAATGGTACTGATAACAACATGTGAGAAATACCTGACCAGGTAAGAACGTACATGGCCTCTACAAAGTCAATGCATTTCCTTTACATAAAGCCAGGCAGTGACAGCTGGCTGTCTGCATCACACCGTGGGACTCAGAGCCTCCACCCCGCAGGCGGGCTGGGGTTGGGCAGTCGCGGACTGGGAAGGCCCTGCCTCCAGCCTTGGAGAGGAGAGGAATGAAGGAGAGGTGAGCCTAGGGTCCACCCACTGATGCTACATTGTCACACTCTGGGGTGCTGTTGCTGAAGGGGGTATTTGGGAACATAATTTTGGTTTACTTTCCCCCAGCTTTAATACTTTGTGCTTCAGAAGCCTGGAAACGTAGGTGTTGCAGACCCCAGAGTTCGGCAGTATCTTTAAGGAGGTTGGGCTTTTATCCCGCCATCTCTGTAGGAGAGGGAAGGACAACACCTCCGTTTATGTTACGGAGGTGCTCTCCCGAGACGTAACTAAGGTCTGCAGCAGTGTGAGAGCACAGAGGACGGCTTGCTCTGTGTGCAGCGCGATTCCCACCACTCCCGCAATCAATCACCTCACTCGTAACGCAGACGGTAAGTGACAGTCGATGATTAGACAGGTTACAATATACTGTGGCCATGGTCAGCACAGGGCTACGTTTAGTCCGTACTTCTTTTGCTTACGCTCGCCGGGAAGACCTGGCCTCCTAATTATATTATACTGATGAGGTTGCTCTGAAGTTTGATATATCCCAGCAGAGGCGGGGCTGCTCTTACTTGGCACCGGTGTTGCAGCCGAGAAGGCCGTGCATGCTGTATGCGCTGTTCTGCTTCTCCAGCGCCTTCTTGAGCTTCAGCTCCTCTAGTTTTTTCCATAATTCTTCGCGTTCCAATTCTTTCTTTTTCTCTCTGAGGAGAAACCAGCAGAAACCATCAGAAGCTCCAGGTAGTGAAGAATGTGGAACAGATGTTTTTTTTTGTCACCCTCCCAGGTGGCTGTAGGTGTACGTGACCACACATGGGATTGATTTACCATCGTCACTAGAACGGCTCTAAGTCAGAATAACCCTGGGGCCCTGGAGGGGCAGCAGAAGCCCCTCTTTCCAGACCCACAGAATGGCAATCTTCTACCCACCCATCAGATTATGTTCAATTTGGGCACAGGCTATATACATGTAACATGGGATTTCATTTCTGCAGCTTCATTTTAAAGAAGTTGGTGACTTACACCAAAGTCACACGACCAGCGTACAGTCTCCTACGCACCTCTTTCTGGGCTCAGACTGTGTACTTATTTCTATCTGAACTTTATGGGGTTTTGCTTGCTTGACAGAGGGTCTTGAATATATAGTCCTCTCCTCAGAGTCACAGAGATCCCTGCCTATATATACTGCCCGAGTCCTGGGATTAGACAGGACCCACTATGCCCTGGTAAACTATTGAGAAAAATGCATTCAGTAAATTATTGGAGGGCTGGATCTTTTCTACATAAATGAAACAGCAGGTGCTAGCCCTGAAGGATTGATGGAGTAGTGACTGCCCACCTTATATGAGGAGGATGCTCCTGAAGGTGGACCCCCTAAAATACAGCACAAGGAACACCAGGTAACTGTCCCCTAAGCCATGACAGTGTGCTAACCTCAGTACCACTTGCTGATAATCCACAGCACTGGAACTGCAGACTGTCAGGGAAGCCAGTGTGAACAAACGCTTGTGTAAATTACAGTGTACATGCTACTAGCTTAAGGTTCAGCAGAGATCAACAGAAGACCACAATCTAACCATCAGAGGGGAGTCATGCCAGGCTTAATACATTTATAAAAACATTCCTTTACCGTAAGTAACAGCTTTAGTGCTCAGGTTTCACCTTGCAGTGCCTAGTGTACGCACTGCAGATCCAGCAGCTCTGAGAACCACCTAGTGTACGCACTGCAGATCCAGCAGCTCTGAGAACCACATAACACTAAATAACAAACGTGTCAAGTACCTCTGTCTCTCGGCTTTGTAGGAACTAGTAAGATCATCAAAAAGCTTGCCGTTCATCTCCATCAGGGTTTTCAGCACGTTATACACAAGTGCTACGATGGTCCTGAAGGAAAGAAGCCAGTTCCGGTTAGAGCCCAGCAGCTGGGAAATGCTACACTTTTATTTCTGAGTTGGGCTGGTGTAGCTGAACGCAGTTAACTTTGATGCTATAACTCTGGTCGCACAAGCCAGAGGTGCAAATATGATCTGACTGCAAAGCTTCTATCTGTCTTATGTTATGCTGAGGTTTAACATAGCTAAGAATGTTCTGATTCTCTTCATGTGCATCTCATCTGAAACCCTGGGTAGCAAGATAAAAAATCACGTGTTAGACTGTATAGTCTTCAGCTCCTAGCTTGGGAGGCCAGGAACAAGCTCAGCCACATATTTCCACAGGGACAACCAGACCACGCTTTGGTAAGACCATTTGCTGAGGAACATTCACGTACAACTTTAGTATCTAAAACTGTGACATTAGCCTGCAATACAGGCTTCAAATGGTTAAAAAAAAACATAATACTTGAGTTCAAGGCTAGGGCTATTTAGAGTATATGTTAAATTAAAAAGCAAAAAAACTTACTGATTCCAGTGTTCTTTGGAAATTTTATACAAACTGGCAAACATAATTGGCAGAATTTTATCAATATTCTCTTCAATCAAACTAAGAATATATTCATTATTCCAGAAGTACAGTGCTCTTTCTGCAACCTACAAAAGAGATTGGAAAAATCAGAATTCCCAGGGAAGGCTGGCACAAATCAGAACGTCACGCGGAGGGCGGCTGGTACCTGAAAGTGAGAACTGGAGACGCACTTGGACATCTGCTTAAAAAGGGGCTCTTCAATTTTTTTGAATTGTGTTGGCTCAATGACATCTAAGATTTCTTCAATTTCTCCTAAAAACATCACCTAGGTTAAAAACAAAACAAAAAACTGTTAAAAATTTTACTCTGCTCTACAGAGCTAGTTCCAGGACAGGCGCTAAAGCCACACAGAGAAACCCAAATAGGTAAGTGTACATACATCTATCTACCTACAACACAGGACACTGACTTAGAGGCTCACAGACAAGGGGCACCTGCACGTGAGGCAGCGGCACAGCTCGGAGCTGTGCTCGCCATCTCCCTGCTCCCCCCACTCTGGAGCAGTCGAGATTGCAGAGTGATTAAGATGCATTGTACTTTTATTAAACCCACCTCTTTCTGACTGCATGTTTTTGGCCAAAATTTCAGCAGTCCTCTGATAACCTACAAGAAACAACCAACCAAGTTTAGAATGAACGGTCACGTGTGGTGATGCTTCTCTATAATCCTAGGACCTGGAATACAGACAGAGGCTGCCGGCCTCCACTTCTAACGTCAGGACACTTACTTATTCTGAAGTAAAGCACACAGCACTTGGGACATGAGAATTCCTACTCAACCTTGCACCTCGGCTAATTCAGCAAATACATACGAGGGCCTGGGACATGGCATTGGGCACACATGAGCAGATGGAGTCCCTGGGTTTTCGTATATAAATGACCAACAGGAGAAAACGAGGTGAAGGAGGTTATTTTACAAGAAGTTATTCAGGACTGTATACATAGCCAAGGATGACCTTGGATTTCTGATCTTCTGTCTCTGCCTTCCACTGCGAGGGCCCTGTGCATGCGAGGCCGGCACTCTGCAAACTGAGCTCAAGCCTCAGCTCTTTAGAGATAAAGAACAGATAATTTCCCATTATCTAAACTAATTTATACTTATAGAGTCCACATTTTAAAAGCCAGGGGTCCTAAGTTATTTCTCGGCTGACAAGATCAAGGTACACTAAAATATTAAAGAACCATATATTTCAACAAACAGTTAAAGAAATTTTACTAATCCAGTAGTGCACAATACAAACGCTAGAAATGCAAGGACGGTTCAACTCAAAAGGAAAAACAACTATATGGCCTTAAGAACTCTCCCTAGCCTTTATTCACACCACATTACATTACACTGTACCAGGTGTGAACCAGTGTGAATGGAGTCATCTCAGATTAGTGCTTGTGGTTTCGTGTGTGTCACAGAGCTTCTAATTCTGACTTAAACAGATTCCAGTGAGGATGACGGACAGTTCACTGCAGTCTCTGATCCTGCCACACACTGTAACTACTGGTCCACTCAGTTCCCATGAGAATGCTCCCTTCCCCGCCTCCCAGAAGTGGCTCCTCCTATGACAGCTGATACACAGGCTGGGATGAAATGCCAGAGATCAGACAAGTACAGAAGAGGGGACTGAACACTTACAGGCTCTGTCAGTGTTGTGTCTTTCTCCAGGAACTGCACGACACAGTACGCCAGCTAAAGGGCAAAGACAAGTTTGAGATGTCAGAAAAGTAGCATTAGGGAGACGGGATATTTTCACATTACACAAAATGTCACTTTGGTTTTTAGTTGCAGGATGAGATGAATATATTCATAATTGTATTACTTTTCAAGTTCTAAGTTCAACAGATTGTTAGCTCTAGACTTAGTTAACTTTCCAGTGCATATCTATGAATATGAAATATGCAGACTATTCGCTAGGGCAGTGATTGTCAACCTGTAGGCCTTGACCCTTTGGGAGCTATATATCAGGTACTACATTACGATTCATAACAGTAGCAACAATTTTATGGTTGGGGTCACCACAACCTGAGGAACTGCATTAAAGGATTACAGTGTCGGGAAGGTTGAGACCACTGCTCTAAGGTTGACAAGTGACCAAGACCTTTCTAACAGGCCATTGTGGTTTGATGTATAGGACTCACTCAGGGTCACGTAGTCTAGGTCCTGGACCTGAATATAAGTAAACTTCTATGTGTAGCTTACAGTGGCACCAGTAGTACGGAAACAAACTCCAAGTCTGCCAGAGCAAATTCCTTACTAGACACAAAACCAGCATCTTAATATCTCAGATCTTTGCCTCTATACTAAATAGTCGCTTCATCTGCAACTTTCCTGAGACTTACCTGAGCGTGAAACAAAGCCAGTCCTTTCGCAGTGTGCATAGGAATAAGAACCTTCATTAGGAACTGCTTATGCTCGGCTTTCAGTGGCAATGCAAAGCCATTGATGATGCTGGGGGAAGAAAAGCAGGGAAGGGTTAAGCAGTCGCTTTGATTCCAGAAGTTACACTATCTGCACCTACAGGGGAGCATCTGCTTAGTGCTGTGCTTTTTCTGCAGGGCACCGCGTCATCTGGTGTCCTCTACACACTGTCACTGCAGCTCTGCCTTCACTCTCCTGTCTCAGGGCTACTAGAATTCCCAACATGTTCTGTGATAAGTGAGCAGTTTCTCCTACGTGTTTGAATAATCTGGAATTCTATGTGGTGAACAGAAAGGAAATGTGTAAGTGAAGCCAAACAGTCTTCCAAAAGAACAGCCTATCAACATTTGGGTAAGAATTCTTGTAGTGAATACTTGATGAAAACTCCATGTCTTCCCAGCTGAAGCCTGAAAACAGCTGTGGCACCCACCACAGTTCCAAAGGCCCTGAAACCGTCTGCTCTGTTGTTGGGGGTTGAACCCAGGACCTCCAGCATTGTGCTCAACTCTAAAAATATGGGAGCTCATTTTTTTTTTTTAACTCCAGCTGTTTGGTACATAATTCTTAATTGTTAAAATCAGCAGCCCCCCCCCCACCTACCTTCCTAGTATTTCAAGGAGCTCGGCCACACCATTGAAATGCTCTGTTTCATATATAAACCTGCATTTGGAATAGAGAGAGATGTACTAAACGTAAGCATCAGGAACCGCAGGGACAGGTTTTCTCTGAACTGTTTAGCCCACACCGCTCTTCTACTGCGTAGCCAGTCTTGACCTTTTGATCTATTTCCTCTGCTACAATTTGAGAATAACAGTCTCATTTCATCTGGGTTATTTTACTTAATATAAAAGGAAGGGGGATGCTCATATGAGAGTCCTTTTCTTTTTCTTTCTTCTTTTTCTTATGTATACAATATTCTGTCTGCGTGTATGCCTGAAGGCCAGAAGAGGGCACCAGACCTCATTACAGATGGTTGTGAGCCACCATTTGGTTGCTGGGAATTGAACTCAGGACCTTTGGAAGAGCAGGCAATGCTTTTAAGCACTGAGCCATCTCTCCAGCCCCACGAGTGTCTTTTTCTAAGTAGGAAACCATTACTCACATGAAGGTCAAGGAAAAGAGGTCCACTTTTTCAAATGCTCAGAATTTTTCTAGAGTGTAAACAGCATAGGCTATCGGGACTGCCTTGAAGGCAAATACAGCATGAGGTGTGGGTGACTCAGGACTGCAGCAGGCGAGGGGATGGAGCACCGACGTAAGACTCGAGGGGGCTGTCACCACTCACCTCCAGTGCTAGCCTAATTCCTCGTCTCCAATGAACTGAGACAAGGAGGATAAACCTGAACCACAGGCAGTAATATGAAACAAACGCTCCGCAAGTATTGAAATCATAGTCCCATATGAATTTTTTTTTCCAAGATAGGTTTCTCTGTAGCTTTGGAGCCTGTCCTGGAACTCGCTCTGTAGACCAGGCTGGCCTTGAACTCACAGAGATCTGCCTGCCTCTGCCTCCTGAGTGCTGGGATTAAAGGCATGAGCCACCAATGCCCAGCAAGATTTTAATTAAATCTAAAGAAAGCACTTTTACAGGCATTGGCTATCATGATGATTGTTTAAAAAAATTAAAAAGCTCAGAAAAAGTTTCTCAGCGAATTCTTTCATCTATCCAACACTGTCCTCATGACCACTGCCGACCCAGAAGAGGAGGACACGCGCCTCGAAAATGCTAAGTGAACCTCATGATGGGCAGGAATGACTGAGAGCCTTCAGCTAGGTCAGGTTTCAGATCAAAATTAACCTAAAGGGGCTTGGTTAAAGGAACGGCACGAGGGGAAGAGTACTCTAAAAGATGAATTTACCTGAGGAAAATGTTGTTAATTTGCTTTCTGATGAATGCTCTCAGCCCAAGAAACTTCCCATAGATCCGATGCAGAACGGTCTTCAGGAAGTCGCGCTCTCTCGGGTCTTCACTATCAAAAAGCTCCAGGAGCTTTAAAAAAAATCTGACAAATTACTTTAAAAAAATAATCGAGCTAAAACTGCTCTTTTTCTAATTTTGATTGCAAGATTGCCTATGAAATCTTTAACATTCTCCCTAAATATTCTGCCTTATCAGATTTTACCTTTGCTAAGTAAATGAAGATGAGGAAAGCATAAATATTTTCACCAAATTCGTCTTTATCCATTCTTTTGGTCATTTTAAAGAATATAAACACTTTATAAAAACAAGATTTTTAACCTTGCCAGTGACTTTAAAGTTCTTTCCTAACGTGATTCTTAGTGCTAAAAAAATATTAAACATCTCTCAAATAATGATAGTAATTTAAAAACTTGGTTTTGGAAGACAGGGAGTCATTCCATGGCCAGGTTGGCCTTGAACTTGCAATCTTCCTGCCTTAAGCTCCCAGGTGCTGGTGCTCACAGACCAAACAGCAAGCCCATATAGTCTACAGAAATGGATGGGACCTCATGTTCTGAACTGTGGTGCTGGGTAGTTACAGGAAAGGGGACAAGCGCTGGGCCTCACCAGATTGATGTGGGATTCCTCTCTGTATGCTGTTAATATCATTGGTTAATAAATTGCTTTGGGCCTATAGCAGAGCTATAGGGGAATAGAGATAGGCAGGGAAAACTAAACTGAATGCTGGGAGGAAGAAGATGGAGTCAGAGAAGCCATGGAGCTGCCCCTGGGGACAGATGCTGAAACTTTCGCCGGTAAGCCACAGCCTCAAGGCGATACACAGATTATTAGAAATGGGTTAAATTAAGATATGTGTTAGCTAATAAGAAGCTAGAGCTAATATGGGTCAAGCAGTGATTTAAATAATATGGTTTCTGTGTGATTATTTCAGGAGTCTGGGCAGCCAGAAAACGAGCTGTAAAGCAGCCTCGTAGCACACGGAACTGCTGGAATCAGATTGTTGCCTTGGCTTCCCAGGCACTTTAGGAGTTTGGTGTAGAGATAGAAAATGGTTCCCATCATGCCAGGGCTTCCCCGCACACCCCAGAAAAGCCCAGGATTCTGGGTGCCTAGAGCACCAGGCTGAAGCAAAAGTTTGATGTGCATGTGGCTTCACTAGGTGCTGAGTGCATTCTACATGAGAACCATACCAAAAAGTGATGTACCTTCCTCCGCAATAGCCCCAAAGACCCCATTGTCATCTGGCTGATTTTATTCATGGCTGAAGTACATAGTGTACTGTGAGCGCACATCTAATCTTGTGTGGATTATGAAGAGTTCTCGAAGGGCTAGGCAGGTGTTTATCATCCCTGAGTCAGGAACAGCTCTAAATATGAGGGATCTTTAACATCTGGACACCCGAGAGTGGTCTGAAAGGCCCTCATAATGGAGTTGAGTTGTGCCCTCACCATCAAATCCCTAACAAGGCGTACGTACTGACAATGGCTTTAAAAGAGACAATGGACAGAGAAATTCTTGGGTCACTTTTCAGTTCTGTTTAGGGTCAGGCAGTTTCAAATGATTAAAAGAGGCTGTTATGTTGTCTAAAAGCTCTTGCCAATAAAAACAAACAAAAATATTCTTAGAAGTTAATTATAGAGGTAATACCAGTTTCTAAACATTTCACGTGCGTAATGTCCTCCTCTCCTCCATGGCCCATTTCATTTGACCTGTGGCTAGGAGAGGGAAGACAGGCGACTGATGCTGAAGGCACCCAGAGCTCAAACTCGGTGATGGTTTCCGCCCTGGCAGCTCAACGTTTAAAACACAGCAAGTTCAAAGACTTACAGAAATTTCGCCCTCGGATTAAATGGTCACCCCAAACTTTTGAGGAGCTGCAGAAAGCTCAGTTTGACTGACTTCATTGGGCATTCACTCACCCTTGATACACACTCTTAACTTCTAAAAGCTACATAAAAAAGTGTGACCTGTACAGGTCAGAAGACCACCAAATCGGAGCTGGAGTTATCAGGCTTTTGGGAGGGGCCTGATGCTGGGAGGAGACAACACAGAAGCCTCTGGAAAAGCAGGAAGGGCTTTGACCCAAGTCGTCTTGCCAACCCCTCAAATCCTTTTTTGTTTGTCAAGAACTAAGTACTTTTATTCACATTTTGAATGACTACTCTTAATAAGCAAGTGCTAAGAAGATTTGAGATCTAAGAGTCCCTTACCTGTTGTACAAACTTCTGATCAATGTATCGCTTTGCAATGCTAGGCTGGAAATCAGGGCTCTCCAAGAATCTCAAGAAGAATTCATACACCAGCTGCAAGAAAGTAAAAAGCAAAATGATGCCTATAAAATAATACTCTAAATTATGTTTCATGTAAGAACACACCTCTCTTATCAGCTTGAGTTGGTAACTGTTTCTAAAAAACAAAGTTTTAAAAAAACATTATCTTTATAGTTTGGATTTTGTCCTGATTGGCTTTTTATCAACTTGACACAAGCTACAATTATCTGGGAAGAGGAAGTCAAATGATAAAAATGCCTCCATTGGATTGTCTTATAGGCAGGCAAGGCTGTGGGCCACTCCCCCCCCCCATCACACACACAAGGTTTACTCTGTAGAACAATCCTAACTGTCCTGGAACTAGCTCCTGTAGACCTGGCTGGCCTCAAATGCCATGTTCTAGATTAATGACTGACGTGAGAGGGCTCAGTCCCCTGTGCGTAGGTGGCCAGGGGTGTGTAAGAAAGCAAACCAGTAAGCACTGTTTCTCTATGGCTTCTGCCTCAGGTCCCATCTCCAGTCCTGAAGTCTATCCTCGGTAGACTGCGATATGAAAGTGTAGGCCAAATAACCCTCTCCTCCTAGACCGCTCTTGGTCATGGTGATCATCACAGAGGCAGAGTCTCCTAGGGCACAGCCTGTGAGGTCTGTGGCTCTCTGCATCACTTATCAGAGTGCCCCTCAGGTATCAGTTCATGTTCCTTCCCCCCAGCGCACTATTATCCTACCTCAATTTCACCCCTAGCGTCCCCAAAACACAGACTCAGAGAGTGGGCAGTGTATAAAATTCACGTCTCCTATAAAACTAGATAGGGGATCTGGCAAGATGGTTCAGCAAGTAACACTACTTGCTGCCAACTGCTCACCTGGGTACAATTCCTGGTACCCATGTGGTGGAAAGTGGAAAAAAAACTCCCACAGGTTGTCCTCTGACCTGCACACGCGCGCGCGCGCGCGCGCGCACACACACACACACACACACACACACACACGTAAAAGCAGAGCAGGGAAGCTGAAACTGAAAGCAGTCCACCTGGAGAATCACAAAGCAAACCCTAAATGCAGAAGCCTGAGAAAGGAAGGTCTGATGGAGCAGATAAAGCAGAGGAGTCTGAGATCAAGAAGCACCGTGCAGCCTGCAGGACAGCAAAGGGCACAAAGACTACCAGTCAGGATAAGTATGGGCATAGCTGGGCGGTGGTGGTGCACGCCTTTAATCCCTGCACTCAGAAGTTAGAGGCAGGTGGATCTCTGTAAATTTGAGAGTGAGTTCTAAGACAGCCAGGACGACACAGAGAAACCCTGTCAAAAAAACAAAAAAAAAAAACCCCAAAAACCAAAACAAAAACCAAAACAAAAAAAAACCCAAAAAATCATAACCTAAATATCTACAAAAGGCAAGAGACTGACCTCAAGATATAACTTTAATCATAAACACAATTAGATAGTGTGCCAATTTAGCAACCCAGAAACACAAGAGAATTAGGTCCCAAAGTAAAAAACCACTGAAAAAACACTTGGGGTCTAAGATGGCTCAAGGGTAAATCTCTTGCCCCATAAGTATGAGGACTAGAATTCGGATACAAAAAGCTGGACAGGGTCTGGACGGCTCAGCAGTTGGGAGCACGTGCTACTTACTCTTCAGAGGACCAAACTTCAGTTCCTAGCACCCACATTAGGCAACTGTTAATGTTAACTCAGCTTCAGGGCATCTGTAGGCTTTTGCATTCATGTGTACATAACACACACACACACACAAATAATACATCTTAAAAAAAAAATTAAACTGGTGTGGTGGGCCACTTGGAATCCCAGCACTCGGGAGGTAGAAGCAGGAGGATCTCTGTGAATTCTAAGTCAGCCAGGCTACACAGTGAATTCCAGGTCAACCAGGACTCCAAAGTGAGACCCTGGGCTGGAGAGATGGCTCAGAGGTTAAGAGCACTGACTGCTCTTCCAGAGGTCATGAGTTCAATTCCCAGCAACCACATGGTGGCTCACAACCATCTATAATGAGATCTGGCGCCCTCTTCTGGCATGCAAGCATACATGGAAGGAATGTTGTATACATAATAAATAAATAAATCTTAAAAAAACAAAGTGAGACCCTGTGTCAATAAAGTATAAATACGCCTTTGCCCATCCAGATACATGGAGCAATGTTCATTTGATTAAGGTTACCTAATTTTTAATGTTAATTTTGCATTAAGAACATAATAAAAAGCTGGGCAGTGGTGGTGCACATTTTTAATCCCAGCACTCAGGAGATAGAGGTAGGCAGATCTCTATGAGTTTGAGGCCAGCCTGGGCTACAGAGAGAGTTCTAGGATGGCTAGGGCTACACAGAGAAAACCCTGTTTCATAAAACCACAAAAGAACATAATCATGAAAGAGAATTCTGCTTTGGAGCACAAACAAGCTAAAACATATAAGCCTGCAATGCTCTGAGAAGTTGAGCTGGGGAGCTCTGCTGCCACACAGCTTACTGGGTGACTGGACTACATACAGTGTGAGCAAGAATAACCGTGCAGCTCAGAACACTCATCCAGATAACCAGTGCACAGAAAACTAAAAGGGATACACCACAGTTACATGGCACAGAGTGCAGGAAGCATCTGACAGACAGCTCTGCTGCTGTAGGATCAAGTCGGCAACAAAGCTGTCGAGAGAGACACGCAACTTGAGCTCTGTATTCACTTGATCTGGAGAATATAGGAAGAAGAGCTGCTTTGATAGAAGTGCCAGTGTGGGGGCTGGAGAGATGGCTCAGTGGTTAAGAATACTGACTGTTCTTTCAGAGGTCCCAGGTTCAATTCCCAGCACACACATGGCAGCCCTAACTGTAACTCAAGTTCAGGGGATCTGACACCCTCACACTAATGCACATAAAGTTAAATAAATTTTAAAAAAAAGAAGAAGCACCAATGTGTGTCTTGGGATGGGGATGGTCCAGGGAAAGGGCTGGAGGTGTGGAATCAGCCTCAGCTCTAACGCAGGTCCCATACCACCCACTTCCTTGAGCACTGCACCAAATAACTTTTCATAGAGATAGTATCCCTTGGGAGATGTGCATGACGTCAAGTCCCAGATTCCTATGCCAGTAGACATTGTTGGACACGGTGCTGCTCATAACTGTATTATGGTTTCTTAATCGTATTGTTATTTTATGTGTGGGGCTGTTTTGCCTGCATGTCTGTCTATGCACCATGTGCAGCATGCAGTGCCCAAGGAGGCCAGGAGAGGGCGTCATACCTCCCTGGAACTGCAGTTATAGACAGTTTTCAGTTGTGATGTCTGTGCTGGGACTCAAACCTGGGTCCTCTGAAAGACTTTTACCTGCTGAGCCATCTTTCTAAACCCCTACTTACTTATCCTCATCTACATAATTTCCCTGACAACAGTGCACATGCAATGAATAGCCCAGATTAGCAAATACCTGCTGTCAGGAGCCAGTTTAGCAGGTGATGAGATGAAGGTTATTTAATGCACGCTGAGTATTACAAGCAAGTAGAAGAAACAACTGGCCTACAGGGCTAACAATCATCAGAATGTCACAGTAAGATCATGTGTCTATGAGATGAAGCTTGCCCCCAGTCCACACCTGTTATCCTGGGTGGACATTGTAAAGCATAGTTACTGTGTTAGGGCGTAGGTTTTAGAAGCACAGAGCAGATGCTTGAGAGTGTTTACTAGCTATACGAAATCAGCTGATGAGACTTTCTATGCAGTTACTGAAGTTTCTCTATGCATCATATGAAGAATTATAATTTGCTTTTACGAATCTTAGAACACACTTCAGCAATGGCTTTAGCACTAACAAAATGGCAGACCTCACGTGTGTCTGTTACAAGGTTGGCCTGCCACCTGTCTCGCCATAACACACTCTACACCCTGAAGACAAGAGATACGAAAAAGCAGAAGGTCATCTTGCCGTACTGCTCAGGTTTCTGTAGCCCAGGCTAGCCTTGAACTTGAAATTTAACTGTCAATGACATTGACTTCAAATGGTTCTTCCTCCACCTGCTGAGGGCTAGGGTTATAGGAATTGCCCACGACACCAATGGATCTGGGGCTTCATACATTGGGCACAAACTCTGCCAACTGAGCTACAGCCCAGCTCCACTATGCTACTCAGTTCTGAATATGCCTTTCCTAAGGTCATCTAAACAAAATGATAAAGTTCTGCTTTTCCTCACTAAAAAGATACAGGTCCATCAGAAAACAGTCCAAATGACTGAAGAACCTGAAAATAAGACCTAGGTAAGCTAAACAAGCCAGAAACATTTGGCCCAGGGAAGAAAAACTGAGAAGCAACTTTGATGAGTGTAGGTATAAAAAAGGCCCTTTTCAAGGGGCATGGTGACCACAGGCTTTCCAACTTCTGTTAGCAGGAAAGTGATGTAAAGGGATTTAAAATGATTTATTTCATGAAGAATTCACAAGAGTGAGCATCTATAAATTACATCATGTAGTTTACACTGCATGTTTAGAACACTGCCTGGGCGCAGTGAGCAGAAACAGAAGCTCAGTTCTCTATGACTCCTCCCTCCCTCTGGGTATCTGAGAAAGCAAAACAGATTCTGCAAAACACTGAGCTCTTTTTACTGTGACCAGCCAGACACTCTCCCTCTGCTCTTTACTGTGGCCAGCCTCGACACTCTCCCTCTGCTCTTTCATCTATAGAACAAAAACACAGACACTAACAAACCCATCAGGCTCAACACTACACAAAGAACTACAGACAACTGAGTAAAGGCGGGAGTACTCCCACCTCTCCAGGTGGTCCTCACCAGGGAGAGCACACCAATTAGTTGTTCAGTTCAATGGTCAGCCCTGGAAATGTTGAGTACATATACTACTTGAATATATAACAGTTGATTTAAAAAAAAAAAGCCATCAATTTGAAGAATGGGGAGGGGTAGTATATGGGGGGGGGAGTGGAGGGAGGAAGGAGAAAGGAGAAATGTTACAATTAAAATACAATCTCAAAACTAAACAACAACCAAAACCATGCTGGGCATGGCAGGCATCATACACTTGTATCCCAGCTACTGAGGAAGCTGAGACAAGAGATTACCTGAGTCCAAGAGTTCAAAACCAGCCTGGGCAACACAGCAAGCCTCCCCCACCACACACAGTGACCAGCAAAGATCATTTACAGTACCTACTCACAACTAAAAATGTTACAAATGAATCTCTGAAGCTTGTATAAAAGCACAGTGGGGGCCTGGAGAGATGGCTCAGTGGTTAAGAGCATTGTCTGCTCTTCCAAAGGTCCTGAGTTCAATTCCCAGCAACCACATGGTGGCTCACAACAATCTTTCATGAGGTCTGGTACTCTCTTCTGGCCTGCAGACATATACACACAGAATATTGTATACATAATAAATAAATAAGTAAATATTAAAAAAAATAAAAGCACAGTGAGGGCTTGTTGGATCCCAGGCCTTTCCCCGGCTCCTCCAGGTGCTATGCAGGACTGTTTACCCAACCAGTCTAGCTTCCTGTCATCTCCTCTGCTCGCTCCACCGGCTAGGGGAATTAGCATAGAGAGCCTTATCCTCTATTGGCATGGTAATTCCACCTGCAAAGAAGGGTTCTCACTGCGGCACCTGCCCTGTCTGTCACTGCAGCTAGCTCGGCATCCCCTGCGCGGAAGCTCCTTCCACTTGGTGCCAGGCGCCCAACACCTTGATCTCACTCCCTGTTGTGAGGGGGTTCTCGTCCTTTGGCCTGTAAGTATATAAACCTGGAATTTCACTGAATAAAGTTGACATTTACCTTTTGGGCAAATGATCCAGGTCTGTGTGTGTGTGTGTGTGTGTGTGTGTGTGTGTGTGTGTGTGTCTGTTTTTAACTCCTAGGACATTGTTCCAAGCTCGCAGCTCGATAAGGAAGGCACCCACCCGTATGGGGGTGGGGGGAAGGGGCTCGCAGAATTGGGTGGAACATCTGGAGGCACTGCTGGGATCGGAGAAAAAACAGCTGCGTTCTGCTCGTCTGCAAACTCACCCACGAGAGCTTTGGGGAGGTAAGACCCCATGGGAGTCACCCTCAAGAAGGCTGGCCAGCATTATAAGTGTGGAAGTGTGCAAGGAGGGTGAATTGGCTTGGTTTCGGAAAAATGGGTGCTGATTTGTCTGTTCCGGCGTTAAAAAGCCAGTTAGCAGATTAGTTGCTGGACCTCGTAGGGAGGCTAGGCGCCAAGATCAGAGTTGACACTGCGCAGGAAATCGTAAAGACGATTTCAGAGTTCAGTCCTTGGTTCTCATTAACAGGAGGTTTTAATATCGCGGACTGGGAACAAGTCAGGGCTGACCTTCATATTGCACAGAGAAAACGGGAAGCTAGAGCCTTCCCCCTAGCGATCTATTCGCTATGGCATCTTATCAGAGATGCCCTCCTCAGTGAGGATGTAATAGTGAAGGAACAGTTAGAGGTTTTGAACAAAACCCCTGAGGAGATTCAGAAAGTAGAATCTGTGAGCTCTATCAGGAGTTTTGAGGAGCAAGAAATCAAAAGCATTGAGAATTTAGAAGAGGAAGAGGAAATATTAGAAGGCGAAATCGCACTTCTAACCAAACAGCTAGAAAAAAAGGAAGGCGGGGCCCGCTAACAGAGATCTCCCTGTGAGACCTCCACCACAAAAAAACATTTTTTGCCACCCCAAACCATTGTGCTACGGCTCTCGCTCCTATAGACCTAGAGGCGGGAACTCGAGAGATGTTAGACGGACCTAATAATCTAGGTAGAGAAAGGCTGATTTATCCTGCTGAGGAAACTACCGGTCAGCAAGTACATAGAATCAGACAGCTTGACTCTCTGGCCTTTAAGGATGTCAAGCAACTGAAAGAGGCGGTCGTTGCTGGAGTCTTTCGCTAAACTTAACCTCACACCCAGCGATTGGACACAACTTTGCAAGGCCTGTGTGGGGGGGGGGGGGGAGTTGCTGTGGAGGGGTGACATGCGAAAAAATTGCAAGGAGACCGCGTGGCATAATGCCACTGCAGGTTTTCCCCAGCATAACCTTGACATGCTACATAAATCAAACTTAAAAAAAAAAAAAAGCACAATAGGAACCTTCCATCGAGCCCCTTTTTTGGCATCGTGACTTTCTATGCTCTCACTCATCAGAGCAGATGTGCTGGGCATGATGATGCACACCGTTAATCCCAGATCTCTGAGTCTGAGGCCAGTCCAGTCTATAGATGGAGTTCCAGGACAGCCAGAGTACACAGAGAAACCCTGTCTCAAAACAAACAAACAAACAAACAAACAAAAACCTCCCAAACAAAAGAAAACCTAAACAAACCAAAGACTCAAGGTGCTTAAATATGTGACTACAACATTGCTGGACACATACGCTCACTTCAAATAGCCTCAAAATATTTAATATTTAAATGCTATATCAAATTTTAGTAACTCAAGAGTTTAAAATTTTAGACATACCGAGACCACAGATAAATGAAAATTGCTTGTGTGCTTGTGCAATCTGAATGTGTCTTATGTAAAAATCCATTTTGCAAGGTGTGTGTGTGTTATGCTGGTGTGAGTGTGCACATACTTGTGGAAGCCAGAAGTCACTGTTGAGTGTCATCCCCTACTGCTATCCACTTTCTAAAAAAAATCTTAATTGCATGTTCTTACATGTGTGTATGCATGCATGTGAGTGTGCCACAGTACACATGTGGGGGTCAGAAGATCGCCTGAAGGAGTCATGTGGATCCTGGGGATCTAAACTCAGGTCCTCATAATTGCATGACAAGCTCTTTACCACAGAGTCATCATCCAACTCCCACGAGACCATTTTGTAAATTACCCCCCCCCCCACCGTGTGTGTGTGTGTGTGTGTGTGTGTGTGTAACGCTCAGTTAGAGGACAACTTGTGGAAGCTGGTTCTCTCTTTGCAACACAAAGGTTATGGACTGGACCAGGCTGACATGTCTTTTATCCGCTGAGCAGTCTCACCAGCCACAGAAATAGTATCCTGATAGTAATTACCATCTTCTAAGATGTTAAGAACCATTTTCTCTCAGGAAATTCAAATGGAGCCTCAAATTATACCAGTAAAAGATGAAAAACACATTGTTTACTTGGCTGAATTTCTTGTGTTAATTTCTATGAGTATATAAAAATATCCTGATGGAAAAATCTGTCTTTGCTTTTAAAATTTCAAAAGCTAAAAGTCTTTTCCAAAGACTATCCAACTACACATAATAAAAGAGTAACACTAGCTAATGAGAATTTCATGCTTTAAAAACTTTCCCATTACTAAAAACAGTACCACTAATTTTATACCACATACAGCAGAAAATTTCGGGTGAACTTCTCCTCAATTCTATTAAAAAGTAATTTAGAGGCCAGGCACGGGGACACAGACCTTTAATCCCAGCACTTGGAAGGCAGAAGCGGGCGGATCCCCGTGAGTTCCAGGCCAGTCAGGGAGGCAGAAACCTACCTCAAAACACAAAACAACAGTAGATCTAGCACCTACAAACACATGCTGTTGTAAGAGACACACTTAGAGTCAGAAACAAAGAGGTTAAAGCAAAAAGGACAGAGAATGTAAGCCATGTAAACAAACAGTAGCTAAAACCTGGAACAGCTGCACTAATACCAAACAACCTGACTTCAAAACAGCGACAAAGGGCCACCACAGGGAAACTACAGTTATAAACATAAACTTATATGCACCTATCAACCAGGTCCCCAAACACATGAAGTAAAACCTCACAGAAATGCCTAGACAATTCAGCATCTGGAGACTCAATACCTTTCTTTCAATGAACAGATCAGTGAGGTAACAGACTATAAGCCAGCTAGGCCCAGCAGCACACAGCCCCTTGATAGGTCTAAGTTCACATGTAATGTTCTCCAGGACATACTGTACACTGCCATGAACTCTACAAGAACTAAAATCATACAATAAAGTAAACAATGAAATAAAATCATGTGGGAAATTAAAAAATAGTTACAGATGGATAAAAACAGAAAACCAAACATCTTATGGGAAATGAATGTTCAAACAAAATTTATGTATGAATGTATTAATAGCTCTGGTTGTAACAGCCTGTGGTACTTTGAACGTAACTATACCCCATAAGCTCATAAGGAGTGGGTGCTATTAGGAGGTGTGGCTTTGTTGGAGTGGGTGTGGCCTTGTTGGAGGAAGTGTACCACTGTTATGGGGCTGGCTTTGAGATCTCTTTTGCTCAAGCCTCCCTCAGTTTGACACTGAGTCCACTTCCTGTCGCCTGAAAGAACAGACTCTCAGTACCTGTCTAGCACCAAGTCTGCCAGCATGCTGCCATGTTCCACCATGCTAATAATGGACAGAACCTCTGAAACTGAACCACTACCTCGATTAAGTGTTTTCTTTTATAAGAGATGTTGTGGTCACAGTGTCTCTTTACAACAATAGAAACCCTAAGACACAGTCAAAAGGGTAAAAAGACCTTTAACACCAAATAACTAACATGGATTTAAAAGAACAGTATACATCCACAAGGCAGAATATTATTCAGCCATAAGAAGCAGTGACCTATGCGACAGCAGGAATGAGCCTTGGATACTATGCTAAGAAAAAGGACACAGACATGAAAGGTCATGCATCATGAGTCTGTGCATATGAAATGAGCAATTGGGGAAGTATAACTACAGACAGGAAATGGAATTGTTTGGAGACAGTGTCTTGTTATGTAGCTCAAACTGGTCTAGAGCACATGATCTTCCTGCCTCAGCCTCCCAAAGGCTAAGATTACAGACCCCATGACAACACATAGAGTTTAAAAGTCAAAGATTTTAAATAAACGCCCAGAATCAGCAGAAAATTGAAATGTAAACATTATTAATACAAACTTATAATCCATACCTGTATGTGAGGCCAAGAGGCCTCAAGTGTGGGCTCGTCCTCTTCTGGATCAAAATCTGGGTTATCACTTGGAGGAAGCGTACGGAAGATGTTAGCACTGATCTGAAAAGATATTAAGTTTGGATTCATGTTCTTTGCTGTGTATAACTGAATTCTAACAGTGAAAAATAACACCATTTTTTACAGAAAAAATGTACTGCTATAAATTCAGTTCCTACCTATAAATCTCTTCAAGATACGGAGGGAGGCCTTTCTCCTTCTCTGGGATAGCTAACCTCCTTAGCCCCGAGCAACTGGTGACTACACATTACCTCCACACACGTTTACTACCAGCTGCTCTTTCCAAAGTCTGCTTAAAATGAAGGAGGATTAGGGACGAGAAGAGAGGGGAGGCAAATATCACCACTTCATCTATCTGAATCTGACGGCTCTGCATTCTTCCTGCATTCTATCACCACCATGTTCTGCACCTATAACAAGAACCCCTCCCTGTTACTACAGTTACGTAACTCCAATGATGTTTCTACTCTCAGTATTTTAATATTTTTGAGATTTGAGGCTTTAAAAACCACAGACTACTCGGAAACAAGGACGTGCGCTGAGATTCATTTTAGAGTCTGGGTGATATGGTATTCATAATTTCCTCCTTTGCACCATCAGTACCAGCCAGGTCCTAGGTCACCATACCCATCCTTCTCTCTCCAAAAGACTATACTGTGGTCCCAATCTACAATTCTATTTGTTTTTAGAACTCTGTCTGTTATACTAGGCTGGTCTTAAACTCTCAGAGATAGGCCTGGCTCTGCCTCCAGATTTCTAGGATTGAAGGTGTGTGCCAACATGTCCAGCCTCATTTCTTTCAAGAAAAATGAACAGACCACACCAGACAGTTTAGTAAATGTTTAAGACTGAGCTAGTATGGGGATGACTAATGACCACAGTGAGGGGATGACTACAGTGAGGGATGACTACAGTGAGGGGAGGACTACAGTCAGGGAGGACTGCAGTGAGGGAGGACTGCAGTGAGGGAGGACTGCAGTGAGGGGAGACTACAGTGAGGGGTGGACTGCAGTGAGGGGAGGACTGCAGTGAGGGGAGGACTGCAGTGAGGGAGGACTGCAGTGAGGGTGGACTGCAGTGAGGGGAGGACTGCAGTGAGGGAGGACTTCAGTGAGGGAGGACTTCAGTGAGGGAGGACTATAATGGGGGGACTACAGTGAGGGAGAACTATTTGGAACAAACTACCTAGGGCAAGAAGGTAATACAAGCAATGTACAAGTAACTTTCCACTTATTTATAAAAAGTGGTATCCAGGACAGGCATCATTACCAAAACCCTAGAAGCAAGGAGGCAACTATCTAGAACTTTGTAAGTTGCAACACAAAACCATTTTTTTGTTGTTTATTTATTTATTGGAGACAGGGTTTCTCTGTGTAGCCCTGGCTGTCTTGGGACTGGCTCTGTAGACCAGGCTGGCCTCAAACTCAGAGATCTGCCTGCCTCTCTTGAGTGCTGAGATTAAAGGCGTGCATCACCTGCCCAGCTCTCAAAACCAAATTTAAAGGTAAAACCAGTAATAGCCTGATGGCATCAACTTCACAAATAGCAGGGTGTCTCATGATTGTCCCCAGTAAACTTAAATGTTAACCTTGCAGCCACCAATAAAATAACCCGTAACAAATACTCAGAAGTCTGTTAAAGGTTGATCAAGTGGCCCAACTCCTACCTAGAAACTAGCACCAGAAATTAAACAAAAACAATGAAACAGACACAACTTTTCACTTGAGTAGTGAGATTAAATCCCAGTATAATATATAGAAAATTATAGAAGTCTGACTCAAATATTTGAGTATTTTCAATATCTATCAACCTTATAAGGTATCTCCCATTGGGATTTCAAAATTTCTCAATAATAACCACTGGAAAACAGCTAACAGAAGAAAATAATCTTTACTCTTAAAATTTTAATAATGAAATAAAAATAAAAATAGAACACTCGGCAAGGTACAGTGGTGCACACCTTTAATTCCAGCACTCAAGTGGCAGAGGCAGGAGGATCTCTGAGTTTGAGGCCAGCCTGGTCTACAGATAGAGTTCTAGGATAGTGAGGGCTGTTGTTACACGGAGAAAACCTGTCTCAAAAACCAACCAACCAACCAACTAAATAAACAAACAAAAGCAGGAAGTTCATCAATATTCAATACTTACATCCTCTTTTACTATCTGTGGGAGTTTAGGAAGCTAGTTTTATTCTGGTTAATATTCTCTCGATAGTCAATCTTTTCAAAACATAACATAAAAACCACTAAAGCATTAATTTCTGTTCTTAAAGTACAACACAAATTCCTAAGTTCCTTTGGCAGGTCTTCGACTGTGACCAAATCAAGATCTTTCCTCTTACCCATTTTATTCTTCTCCTAGAACATGGATTAGGTTGTTTGTTCTGCTTGGATGTAGTTTAAATTATGTTCTTAGTGACTCTAACCACTCGCACAGGGTTTGAATTTCATTTGCACAGGACAACACGCCAGTTCCAGAGGCTGAACCAGTGTCCACTCTGAAGGAGGAGGTTAAACCACTAACAGCCTCCTCCTCAAAGGAACCTTACTGCAATAAAGATGGCAGCAATTCATCTTTTCACACGAGAGATTCCACAATTTATCTACTGTGCTGAGTACTCCTTGCCTAAAATGCTTGGAGCAAGAAGTGTCCTGGATTTTGGCTTACTCATCTATAAATGCCTATAATGAGGTGCTCTGGGCATCTAAATATGAAGTTCATTTGTTTCAAGAGTGCCTTACATAGGATATAAAGGCAATTATAGTCACTATTTTTATTTCACTTGTTTGGACTGCAATCCATAAAGTCAGGTGTAGAATTTTCCACTTAGGGAGTCACGTCAGTGTTCAAACTTTAGTGCTTTGATTTCTGGCTCCCATATTAAAGATAAGATGCCTATTTATCCTTAAAGATTGTGAGCTATAATCGAAGTGTTATACTCTACGAATATAAGAAAACATCCCATATACGATTTCTTTTAAACCCGTGTTTTTCACGTGCCTTCTCTGCCCCCTTTACAATTCCCAGAGACTGCTCACTCAGATATAATCGGTTATCTGGATAAATGAGTTCACTTTTTCTAAATTTTAGTTTTAGTTACATGTATGTGTTCGTGTGCAGATATGTGCACCTCAGGGCAAGTGCCGGAGGCCAGAAGCACCTTCCTGGAGCTGGAGCTACATACAAGCAGTTATGAGCTGCAGACATGGGTACTGGGAACCAAACTGCAGTAGTCCCATACAAAACTGTACGCTTGAACCTACATCTTTCTCCGAAGTTCAAGGTCTGAACTATCCAATATGGTAGCCAAGAGACACTAAAACTACTACTTTCTCCAAGTCCTATAGTCAAGGCCACATCAACGAAACGGACAATTTTTCCAATGGGCGTTTTTTTTCTTTTCTTTTCTTTTCTTTTCTTTTCTTTTCTTTTCTTTTCTTTCTTTCTTTCTTTTTTTCTTTCTTTCTTTCTTTTTCTTTTCTTTTTTCTTTTCTTTTCTTTTTTTTTGAGACAGAATCTCACTATGTAGCCCTCGCTGTCCTGGAATTCACTCCGTAGAGGAGGCTGGCCTCCAACTCAGAGACCCGCCTGCCTCTGTGTCCCGAGTGCTGGGATTAATGACATGCGTTACCAGATCTCACCCCATGGGATGTTTCTAAGAACATCCTTTTGGGTGTGTAAGTTACAGTACATACACCTCAGATCCTTGATCTTACATAATCTGAGGAATAGAAATCTAGAGGCTTACCATTTTTACTATATCAGAATACGCTGATTCAACAATTACACCACGATTAGTTGAAACATACTCAACCAGTTCATTCAGTGTTGCTCTTTTGATTTCTTTGCTCTTCAAGTCTGAAACAGAGTCCATGAAATCAAACAGCACACAGCACTGCTGCAGCTTCTGGCAGAAGAGCTCCTGCTGCTCGTTTGAAGTGGCATCTATAAACAGAAAGAGAAAAGCTCTGAACAAACCAGCCTTTGCACTGCTGCTGTATCTGTTAACTAACTCTGCAGAAGGTATCTGCACGCAATCCTCTAGTGCTCGAGGGAGATCCACGCATCTATAGTCCTATCACATACAGATTTATACGGGGCTGTTCTCAGTGCCCACGACCAATCACTGAGGAGTCTAACATACCTTTCCTTGATCACCTCGATTATTTTAGATGCTCATCATCCCTCATCTAGATTTCAGTCTGAACATGCTAATAATGCATGACTAAGTATTCATTTCTGATTTATTATCTAAACTACTTTAAAAGTAAAAACTTTCTTAAAACAATCAATACTATCGCACTCAATAAGATCGTCAATAATTTGGAAAAATGAAGCCTCTGTATTGTATTATCTGCTTATACCTGATGGAGAAGGTTATCTGTCTATTGTGTTACTTTCATTGGTTAATAAAGAGACTGCCTTGGCCCTTTGATAGGACAGAAAATTAGGTAGGTGGAGTAAACAGAACAGAATGCTGGGAAGAGGGCAATGGGGCAGACGCCATGGAGCCAGCCACCAGGTCAGACATGCTGAATCTTTCCCGGTAAGCCACCGCCTCGTGGTGCTACACAGATTATTAGAAATGGGTTAATCAAGATGTGAGAGTTAGCCAGTAACTAACTCTCTAGAGATAATGGGCCAGGCAGTGTTTAAATGAAACAATTTGTGTGTTGTTATTTCCGGGGCTAACCTAGCCATGCGGGAGCCAAGTGGGATGAAAAGCAGGACTGCCCGCAGCTCCTCACTACATATACCAAGTCACCTTTCAACACAGCCATGCAGGGCTCTCCATCCTGGTCAAACCACAGCTCTGGGGCTCCTGAAGAACACATGCTGCTTCCCAGGCCCAGAATGCCCATTTCCCCACACCACTATCTGGGGACCCTACCCGCTGGTTCCATTTTGGCCCAAGTCCTTAATCAGGGGTCTCCCTAATAGAAGTGACACTACACTGGCTGGTGAGCCCTGTATCTCTGCTGCCGTATCCTTTTGTATCATATGGCAATTACGTCTTACTATTCTTAATGATCCTGATCTATGAAGCCCCCCAAAGCAGGAATCAAGTGTTATCTCATGCCCACTGTTCTCTCTCCCCGCTAATGCTCAGCATAGAGCTTGGCACATAAAAGGCACTTAATAAATATTTGCCTTTTGCTTGTGACTAAAACAAAGTACATTACATTGATTCTAAATATATTATACATGTGACAAATATATTTTATGCTAAGAACATCTCTTTGTTCTTAGCATAAAAAATTAGAATATTTAAACTCTGGACTTACAAATCTGTGAACAAGGACCTTCCAGGAGCTCATATGCCTACATCTCCTGAACTACTGAGCTTAAACTTCTAAGATCATAATCTAAAACCTGATATTTAGGTTTATAATATGTAAAATTATTTGTCCATCCAAAGCGAGTACCTATTTTATATAAAGGTAAGGAAAAGATCTCCCAAAAGATTAAAATTTCACCATAGGTATCAACATTTTGTGTCCCCACGTGTGGCTGTGTCTGAGTGTGTGTGTGTGTGTCTGAGTGAGTGTGCCTGAGTGTGTCTGTGTGTGTATCTAAGTGTACACGGAGGGGCCAGAGGCTGACATCTTTCTTAATCAATTTCTTCCTTGTTTTTCGAGTTAGGATCTTTTGCTGAGTCTGGACTTGCCAATGTGTCCAGCACTCTGGCCAGCGAGTTCGAGGGACCCTGTCTCTGCCTCCTGAGCGCTGGGACTGCCGGAGCCTGGCTTCTGTCGGTGGGCAGTGGAAATTCAACTCAGGACCTCATGACTTCAGAGCCCATCTTGAACCATTCCCCCAGTGTCCCCTACATTCTTACTGTAGCAAAGTGTAAATGGTATAAAGACTGCATACTTTACAAGGCTTCCGGCCTGAATGCTGAAAATTACAAAATAAATTTTGAATTTGCTCTCACAGCCATTTGTGTCTATGGCACTAAAAGCTTCGGTTCTACACCCACAAACAATGCATCTACTGTTCTGCCCCAGAGTCAGCTGAGGTTTCCACCATCAGACTGGCACTCAGAATTCATGGAAAGCTGATGGGCAGTGAATAATGTTTTTACCACTGTTTTGGTAGTCAAGTTCTTGATCCAATCACATTTTTAATTTTTTTTTTTTTTTGAGACACGGTTTTTCTGTAGCTTTGGAGCCTGTCCTGGAACTTGCTCTGTAGACCACGCTGGTCTCAAACTCAAAGATATCCACCTGTCTCCTCCTCTTAAGTGCTAGCATTAAAGGCATCCACCACCACCACCTGGCTTATTCAATCACCTTTTATGGAACTGCTCTGAAGTGAAGAAGTTTTAAGATACCCTTTTTTAAAGGATCATTAAATTTGCAGCCCTTTATACATAAGCTATCTGTGCTCTGAAATGAGACTTTACTATACTGTGGCGAATATGAAGCAGATCTGACACACACAGCCAGCAGACAGGCCTACTACCCTTGCTCCTTCCAAACACCAGATAGATGTTCAGCAGCAGAACCTGCTCCGCCTCCACTAAGTCAGCAACATCTGATTGGCCTTTTTCTTAAAACTTTTGGAGTTTTGGTTCTTAAAGTCAAATGATTAATTTAATTACTAAGTGACATTTTCTAACACTGGTACCAAGTTCATTAGTTTAAAAAGCTAGAAGACAAGACCCCTTTGGTTTCTGTAAACTAACAATGGTAAACTTTTCGGAATACATATTGTTTATACCCACTCAAGAAGATAAAGTCATTCTATGAACCCTTTTTCAACTCACAGAAAATCCCCATAGTTCTCTCAGTTGATCCTTTATCTTCGAAAACACCCATATCCGTCAAATACATATTTATCTTTACTAATATCTTTACATATTTATCTTTACAATACATCTGTATTTCATCTTAGTCTCGTGTGTGTGGTACTGGGGACTGAACACAGGCATCACACACGCTAGGCAAGTGTTCTACCACTGAGCTATGTTCCTGCCCGTGTACTGCGTCTTTAAAATAATTAGATCCCATTATACTGATGATCTGAGGATGACAGGTGCCACCTTCAGAGGCTGACTCAGTTCTCACAGTCTGAAAATATTTTCTGAGCTTTTTTCTCCTTGAGGCAGAAGTGAACACAAATTCATGCTTTATCCACATATAATCACCATCTGCAAGCAAGTCCTGGTCACTCTGTCCTCCCACTTCCACTGTGAAACGCCACGTCTCCCATTCAAAACCTTAGCTAAAAGTAGTGGCCACTCCTTTAATCCTGCAGGTGAAGGCCAGAGAACTTCTCAGAGTCAGCGGCCAGCCTGGTCTACACAGTGACTCCCAGGCCAGCTAGGGCACACAGTGAGACCTGCCTCAAAAACAACACCAACAAAACCCATGCCCTGAAGCTACGACACAGTAAGAAAGTGGCAGGAAAATGGTTTGCATTCAGAAGAAACTAGTTCAGTTTCAGTTTCTGTTCTGATCCCTTCTAATGGTAGAATACCCTCTCACAATGCTGGGTGGCTTCATGAAACCCCAAGTATTTGTACCAACTGTATCCTAAGCCATACACTGTTTGCATTTGCTTAGTCATTTTGAATTTAATTATCCTAAGCTACCCAGATTTTTGTTGGGGATACTTTAATAAAATTTCCTGGAACTGATTCTCTTTATCTATTTCATATAGTGTTATAGTCTGAAAATGCAATGTTCCCCACAAGCCCATGAGGTGAACCCTTGGCTGCCAGGCGGGCCACCCTGGAGGAAGTGGGTCACTGGAGTCGTGCCACTTCTGCCACAATAATGCTCTGCCCAGGGGCATGCCACTAAGAAACAAAAACAAGAACCCTTCCTCCTTTATTTTATCAAGTATTTTTGGCAGAGCAATGGGAAAACGAACACACTATTGGATATGAATCTCTGAAAACATATAAACGAGCCATGAGTGTATATGGAAGAGTATTTAAGATAACAGGTTTGAGTTGGAGCTGTCCCCTCGGGCTCTGTGGTCCACAGTTGCTGGTGCTGTTTCTGGGGCTGGGGATCCCGTGGAATTGGGGCCTAGATGGCAGAGGCAGGTGACTGGGGTGGGCTTTTGAGAATTATAGCACTTCTGGCTCTGGCCTGTATGCTTTGCTTCCTGCTGCCGTGATGCAAATGAGCACCTGCAGCCAATGCTCCCACTGCTGTGCCTTCCAGTGACAGACTGCAACTCTGAAACCACCAGCCACAGCTCATACTTCCTCCCTCAAATGGTTTCTGTCAGTTGTTCTTGTCACAGAGATGAGGGAAGTTTACTAATACACTAGAGAACTCCACTGAAACGACAAAAACAAAAGCAATTCTACATAACCCTGCAGTAGTATTTTGATCCCCACTCCCCCCCCCCCCAATATTTTACCAAGGAGCAGTCCAGAACTACTGTACGGACGGCACATTCAGCAGTGGCGATGCCTTCAGGCTTGCCTGCTGCCCAGGGAACATGCTGTCAAAGTGCACTCATCTTCAGTCACATCCTGAGCTAAGCACCACCCCCAAGAAAAAACCAACAATACCAGGGTTTCTTTGTGTAGCCTTGGCTGTCCTGGAACTCGCTAACTCGTTCTATAGACCAGACTGGTCTAGACCTCAGAGATCCACCTCCCTTTGCTTCTCAAGTGCTGGGATTGAAGGTGAGCATCATCATGCCTGGTCAGGATGTGAGTTTTTAAATGCCCGTAACTTTTCCATTTTGTTATGACCAGAACTTGATTTTACTAAAGACTTTACAACTGCTGAAACATAAAAAGAGTCATGCCGAGCAGGGAGACAGAAACAGCTCCGAGGAAATGAGGCATTTCCTCTTGAAGACTTATTAGCTCACCTTCAAAAACTCCCCAAAGCCCTGTTAGGTATTTTCTGGACTCTTCAAGGTTTTCACCACAAATACTCAACTTGAAGGTGACCTGGCTCATACCAGAAATATGT